ACCCCCGTGGAAGTTGGAAGCGGCTGCGCGCTCTTTTTCTCGCTCGGCTAACTACAAAGGCATCTCACCCGCACTGCCTAGTTAGGGCCCGGCTGGGGCCCCTGCTAACCTCCTGACCCCCGGATCCCCACCCCAGTGCCTCCGGTGCCGACTGGGGTCTTCAGCAAGAGTCTGCTGCTGTAACCTGGGGGCCTCTTAGCAATGATCAGCTCTTTTCATCGCGAGGAAAACGACATTTTTAGAAACTATGTTCTGTTCCCCCTCCGCCCAGTAGGTCTTGGTGCAGTTTCTGTGCTGGTGCTTACATATTAACATCTTACCCCTGCAAGTAGGCGTGTGGACTAATTGGTAGCTGTAGTCACGTGTGTCATAATTACTGGCTTATTAGTACTAACACATTCTCATGTCCTATGACACATTTCTGTTTTACATAGAACTAAGGTCCAGAGAAGTTAGTAACTTACCCAGAGTCACTCGGTGTGGTAGTGGCCGAGTTGGACCCAAATTCAGTTCTTTTCAGCCAGTATTTATGAGCACCTACCCTCTGCCAGACCCTGTGCTAGTTATAGGTTGCATGGTATGCGCCATAAATGCTGATCTTTGTCTTGCCTGTGACCTTTCGTGTATCCTGTCAGATACATTCGGCTGGTGAGCAGTGAAACTTGAAATGTGTTTTCTGTTACTTCAGAATTATCTTCTGAATTCAGAACTGACATTTTGTACTTGGATTCAGTCTTGAAAATTTGTTAACAGCTCACAGAAACATCAGATTCCTATGGTTGGCTCCAAGAAAGTACATGGGTAAAATAATTAGGTGGTTGTTTTTTTTTCTTTTTCTATAATGTTGCTTTACTATATATATCATCAGCTTCTTTTTTAATTCCTAGAGTCTAGTACCATGTATGGGTGTGTGTGGTGTGTGTGTGTGTGTGTGTGTGTATTTTTAACCAGTAGTGCACCAAGCAAAATGAATGCTAGTTACTTGAATGCTTATAGAATTACCTCATTTCACCACCACAACAAATCCTCTAAGGTGGAATTTTCTGTCTCAAGCACGCAAGGAAGTGGAAAGCATGGAGATTAAGTAATTTGCCTAGGGTCACACAGCTAATAAGCAAGAGAGCTAGAATCCAAGAAATACAGGACTCCTGGCTGTAAAGCCCGTGCTTTTTACCACCAGCCTTCTTGTGAAAAGAATGTGAAGAAGAATCTTTTCCAATATCTCTTAAAATAGAACAGGTAATCAGTTTTTATACAAATGAAATAATTTGCTATTATGTATTAGGCCAGGTATTACAACCCTTTTATAGGTTAAGGTGGCTACTCAAGGTCACATAGCTAGTGGAAGAACCCAGGTCTCCTGACTCTGATATTTTCCATTGCTGCCTCCAAGTGATGACTTTAGACCACAAAAGTACATGGCATGGAGTGCATGTAAACCTCGTGAAATCTAAATAAGCTCTGTGTATTGTACCCATTTAAAAAAGAAAAAAATTATTTCTTAGGAATACACATAGCACTCAAAGTAAACATTTTTAAAAACCTTTAAAATTTGTATTTTTAAAAGCCCATGGAAAAGAGGAGCTAGGCTTGAAAAGAGATTAGATTATTTGTTGAATGTTTCACATAGGGTATGAGACAGTCCATCTGATGAGTCTCCTTAGATGACTGCTTAAAATAGATATTCACCCCTCTAAACAAATGAACAAATAAGCTTCCAATTTACCTACTGTTCTCCTGTATATAAAAAAAAAAAGAATCGAAATTGTTGAGGCTAGATTTTAACAGTGGATATGTGGTTTATCTAAACACATTTTTTGTTACTTAAACTTGTTTTGGAAATAAATGATTTAAAAGTAAAGTTATGAGATAAAAAGTAGGTCTCCATTTTTGTGGAATAAAGTTGTGCGTGGTGCTATTTTTTTTAAAAAAAATTCTTTTATGCCTTTGAGATACGTATCAACTGTGTGAGGATAAAAGTCCAGAAAAAAATTAGGATTGCATTGTTTAAGTGCTTAAGTAACAGAGTGAAAGGAGATAAAGGTACTAGATGGCATAAGAGATGTTGAGTGCCACTTTAGCAATAGCGCTCATTTTTTAGGAAAGACTTTTCATTCCTTGGCACTAC